ATGCTTATGACCAGAGCAAACGGATGCGGACTGGCGGTGATTATACACATACTGGGTACTCTAGCCCCTCTCCTTTTCACCCCCCTCCTGCACCAGCTTGGGGGCCACCTGCGTAAGAGTACTCCTTTCTCACAAAAAATTGCAGAACTATCTCTTGCAACTTAATTGAACTGCACTAAATTTAAGTCACATGGATGACTTGTTGTCATACTTGTAATATGGACCTGATTAGTGATATGGCTCAGGTACATGACTCCACCACCTCAACCATATGATCCATATACTGGTTACCATGTTCCTCCTGTGCCAATGCCTGTTCCTGCTCCTATGCCTGCAGCACCAAGCAGCTATGTGCCTGTCCAGGTAATGTGTCATGCAATGGCTCTGTTTTTATGTTTTTGTTTCTGGAAGTTGTTGACGAATGAGCCATTTTTCTGGAGCTGTGTTTAATTGCTAATAATGATTGATTTACTCTTGTAGAATACAAAAGATCATCCTCCTTGCAATACCATTTTCATCGGCAATCTTGGAGAGAACATAAATGAGGAAGAGTTGAGAGGCCTGTTCACTGTGTAGGGATTTTGCATCTTCATCTAATTGATCTACATTATGTACAAATTTGTGCACACCTGTTATTGAATGGATTTGTTTGTTTCACCCAAAAATTGTCTGACAGGCAACCTGGTTATAAGCAGATGAAGGTATTGAGACAGGAAAGGCATACTGTATGTTTCATTGAGTTTGAAGTAAGTTTATGACGGCTACACAAATGAAGTTTCTTTCAGATGCTTGCTCTATTAATCTATATGCAGCTTCTGTTATCTATGTTGTTATTTGAAGTCACATCATTTTGCAGGATGTGCAGAGTGCGACCAATGTGCACCATACCTTGCAGGGTGCTGTTATACCTAGTTCTGGTGCTGTTGGCATGCGGATTCAATATCCTTTCTCCATTTGAGACATCTTAGAACTTGAGTTTTAAGTGTTTTTTTTCAGACATTCACTATATTTCTTACCTATGGCTTTTGTTGGCAATTATCTCTGTTAATTTGATCTCTTTGTTATATTTGGTATCATGTCCACTCTTTAATTAAGCAAAATTCACACTGAGAATCAGGGCAGCTTTTTAGTTTCCTTGTTTCCTATCTAGATCTCTCTTCTTGCACTTGGTTTTTGGTCAAGAACTATCACACTTAAGGGGTAAATTTGAAAGGCACACACTCTTAGTATATATACCTCTTCTTTCCCATTTTATTTTATTTTAATTTTTTTTGAAGGGTCAACCTATAACTAATTTTTTAATATATTTGTTTGATACATTTCAAAATTTTGATTATCCAAACAGGTAATATTTTTCATTTACTTTTGTGATTTGTAGATTTTATTTTCAATCCCAAATTTTAGTCAAATTGACTGCCAAAAAAAAAGTGTCTTTGACACTTGAAAAGGGGAATGGATTCATTATAGGTATGCATCTCAAAATGCATGTTGTATATAAGTCCTGTCACCAGTGGTTTAAGGATAAAGAGAAAAGTATAAGGCTATTTTGCAATGCCCTTCATGTAGCATTATGTCAATTATACATGTTCTTTACAAATGTTTTTTACATGGACGCCCGTGGTTTTCCTTAACATCAAGTTACATATTCAAAGAATCCATTTGGAAAAAGGAAGGATTTCAATCACATTTCCCCTGCTGCAAATGGAGCTCTACCACCTATGACCTACCAGTAGCTGGAAGGGGATGTATTCTGTTCTCTATACTCTGACAAATACAAATCCTTACATGATAGGATGCATCATGGACAGCTGTTGCATGCATCCATGTAATCATCAAGTCATCAGCATTAGCATCTCTTCTCATGTGAACGAATGCAAACTGTTGCATCATGAACATATTCTTGGACCATCCTATAGTTTACCCAGGGCATGCATTTAAAGCAGTGACATGGCAAGAAAAGCTAACTTCATTGGTTCATGTTTGCAACATATTATATAAAGGATGCATGTAATTTTTAGTGTAGAAATTATGTGATTTGACTTTGCACTATGCCATATTTACCTAAGATGTCATGAATGCTTCCTTTGTTAGATGTATTGATGTCTTTCATACCATTTTTATTGTCCATTTTTAGTTTATTTAGGCAACTAGCAAACATGCCATTCCACAAAGCTTGATCCTACAGCAATGTCATTAACATATCATGGTACTAATTGACTAGAAACCTATATCATGATCTTGTTTACCACTAGAGTTTTCATGCTATTTCTATCATGATTAATGAGAAAATTATCATTTACATCATGATCATGATTAGCTATTATCTAGATACCTACATTATGGTCATGATTACCAATGGAGATCATACATTTCTACCATCATAGGTTCATTATAGTTTGGTCCATTAACCCCCCATCAATTCAATCTTATAGGACACCCGTGTCCAGGTCTTCAAAGAATCTTCGAAAATCCAGTCCATGTTCATTTTTGCAGGGACTTTTTACAAACTAATGCAACCTCCATCCGAATCAGGGATGCAAATTCTTCTATCAGGTATATTAAATTTCTCTAGATGATGGAATTTTGGTGGAATGTAGCATTTTGACTTGGAGCTCTTTAAAGCTTGTCTTTGGGAGTTTTTATTTTTATTTTTTTTGACTGAAGATTGCTCTGATCTCCTTTGGGGGCATAGCTAAGATATACTCATATACTATGTTATATAGTTAATGCTTATTTTCCTCTTCAGTCACGTCTGACTAAGCAACAAATGCTTTCTGGTGGTGGAGTTATAGTAACTGATGTACAACTTTTTTTATACTAGTTAGTTATTAAACCTGGATATGGACTTTTTTTTTATACTAGTTAGTTATTAAACCTGGATATGGATACGTACTGTTAGTGAAGAAATTGGGATATTATTTTTTCCACAAGGAGGTAAACCAACTTAGGTTGCTGGCTCAAACCAAAAAGGCCAATAGGCCGCTCCCGTTGGGAGTCGAATTGTAACCTTGTGGTTACCTAGTCAACAGCTTAACCAACTTGGCTGGAGTTGCCCCCAGTATCCGTAATACGACGTCGTGGGCGCTTTACATATATAACGAAAATTTCCTTTTATAATTTTCGAGAAAATTCTCAAAATAGTCATTTGATTATGCCCATTTCTCGAATTGATCCTATAACTTTTAATTGAATTTAAATTGATACTCAAACTATTAGATTTTAAGTTAAATCGATTCCAAATGTGATGCTGTTAACTGTACCCTGTATCCATCTCCATTTATTATTCAACAAACAAATGATGGCTTAACTACTCATCTTTTATTGTACATGGAAGTCTCAAAATCCTGCCAAGAGTGTTACAATGGAGGAGGGCAATGCACAGAAGACGACAGCAAGAACGAATTTCACTGTGCACAAGGTAACCACCTTAAAACTTTGCAGTCTTGATTATATTAATTAGCTAATAATATTCACATAGAGGATGCTTTTGATTAACTGCAAATCTGCAATGGCTATGGCTAACTCCTCACCGTTGATAAGAGATTAAAAACATGGCAGTTAGGCTGCATATAATCTTGTTTCACTTTTCTAGACATTAATCAAAATTTTGTTTTTTTTTTTAACACTATGATAAGAAGGAATTTTTCTTTAAAATTATATGTTCGCTTATTTACTCTTTACTATAATCACAGGGATCACCACCACATGGAACACCCCCACAGGAAATACAAGCAATCACAAGCTAATTCCAATCATAGGTTAGTTTTTTCATATATATATATATATATATATATATATATATATATATATATATATATATATATATATATATATATATATATATATATATATATGTCTAAGGTTACCACATCTACCAGCAGCTAGCATTATCCTACTTTTCCTTTTAACGATTTCAGGATTGCATCGGGTCTAGTCCTTGGAGGGAACGCGAGGTTCCATTCGAGAGCAGATACAGTTGTTTTGACATTGCTAGCATTATCCTACTTTTCCTTTTAACGATTTCAGGATTGCATCGGGTCTAGTTCTTGGAGGGAACGCGAGGTTCCATTCGAGAGCAGATACAGTTGTTTTGACATAATTATTGACACTGCAGATGGGGCATCAAACACTATATACAACACGACTCAGGCAATGAAAGAAATGAGTGCAGATTTAGGAGCCACGGATTGAGGTCCTGAGGCCACGCGTTTCCTGACCTCCACATCCAAGAGCCTCGACAGTCGGGCTGCTGATATAGAGAGGCAGGCGAGGAAAAACAGGAGGGCAATAGAGAAGGGCTTAAGGATTGTGTACATAATAAGTACTGTTATCATTTCAGTTAATTTGGTTGCATCCATCTGTCTGTCAGTGCTCGGAATTCTCAAGTTCAGAAGAATGCTTCGCTGGTAAGTGTACGATCACATCATGTTAACGTTGAAAGGCAGACAGTTGATATTCGAATGTGAACTTGAATCGTTTTAATGATCTGTTGGCAGGTTGATTATTCTTTGTTGGATACTTACTGTACTGTGCTGGTTGTTCTTTGGGATTTACTTCTTCATAGACAAGTATGTCCAATCTTAATCTCCAAAATGTATTGGTTTTAACATGAAAAACAGCTTATAATGTCTTGTGTTACCTGCAGGTTTGCATCAGACACATGCACAGCTAGACTACTGACTGACACCTAGACTACTGACTGACAAGGACCTCAAGAGGATTAAGAAGGAGATGGTGAGTGGACTTAGTTCCTAATTACTTTCTATTTTTGACTTTGTTAATTGACAAATGTGGTAGATGAGTACATGTAAGAAAAATTTCATAGGCTATGGTTTCTAGATACATAATTTATATGAACTAGTTGAGCTCTGAATAAATAGCTAAAAAAATCTGCACCTTTTATCTTTGATAAAATCAAATTATGAGTCAGGTGTCAAGCATTTGTCTCTAATTTTATTGTGTGCCAGTTGTTACATTATTGTGGCATCAGCAAGCTTTTAATGGATTCAACAAAGTGTAATGTACAGTTTCTTGCTGCTGAGAATTTGATTGGTTCGCGCAATTACTCTTCTAATGCTGAAGCTTTGAGCTTAGCTTTAATTTGTAATATGTTTGTAACCAGACTGTTATTACTATCTTATGAAAGTTGATTTCTTTACGCAACTATTACTATCTTATGAATACATTTTTTTACTACAATTACAGTACTCAGTAGTATAAATAAATACCTATTACTAATGGTTGTGTGAGAATTGCATGGTGCAAAATAAAATTGTTTTTAAAATTATATATTTTTTATTTTTTAAAAAAGTATCCGCGACTGTTCTTTTACAAAGAATGGTCGCGGAAAGTTGATTTAAAAAAATAAAAAAAAAAACAATACGCGACCATTCCTATCCAAGAATGGTCGCGTATTACATTTGAATAAAAAAAAATAAAAAAACAATACGCGACCATTCTTGGTCAAGAATGGTCGCATATTACTGACAATGCGCAACCATTTAACAATGGTCGCGTAAAGTCCATGGCTTTCCGTGAGCCTCTCGTAGGCGACCATTGTACAATGGTTGCCTATTGTCTTTTACAATGGTTGTCTATCTTCAATTTTGTACTAGTGTCTCATCAGCGTAGCTTTTACTCAATCTCATGCTGATCACTCCTTATTCATTTACTCCCAAGGTACTAGCTATGTGGCTGCTCTCATATATGTAGATGATGTGCTCTTAGTTGGCAATGACAAAGAAAAGATACACACCCTTAAGGCCTTCCTTGATGATAAATTTGGAATCAAAGATTTGGGGTCCATTAAATTCTTTCTTGGCATTGAGGTCACTCGAACCCCCCATGGACTGGTTTTAAGCCAACGTAAATATGCACTTGACATATTAGCTGAGAGTGGATTAGAAGGATGTCGCCCAAGTGCATTCCCCATTGAGCAAAATCATAAACTACGTGCTAACTGTGATGGGGCTCTTGTTGATGCCTCTCGGTATCGTCGCTTGGTTGGACGCCTATTGTATCTTACAGTAACAAGGCCAGACATCACTTATGCAGTTAATATTCTTAGCCAGTTTGTTAGCACCCCACGGCAAGAGCACATGGATGCTGCTTATCGGCTGCTACGTTATCTAAAAAATGCTCCGGGTCAAGGAATCTTGCTATCTAACTCAGCCGGATAGGATCTTTTAGCTTATTGCGATGCAGATTGGGGTGGTTGTTTAACTACTCATCGCTCATGCACTGGATATTATATCACTTTGGGTGGCTCACCAATCTCATGGCGTACCAAACGTCAATCTGTTGTTTCTCGTTCCTCAGCTGAGGCTGAATATCGCGCTATGGCCGTCACTGTGAGTGAAATTTTATGGCTTCGTTGGCTCCTAAGAGATCTGTGTGCCCCTCAGTCTCATCCAACTACTCTATTTTGCGATAACCAAGCTGCTCTACAGATAACAAACAATCTAGTTTATCATGAACGCACAAAGCACGTAGAGATGGATTGCTATTTTATTCGGGAACGAGTTCAATCCAGTGAAATTGCACCACGAAAAATTCACACGCGTGCTCAACTAGCAGACATTTTTACTAAGGCTCTTGGAAAAGATCGCTTTCATTCTTTGCTTGTCAAGTTGGGCACTCTTAACATTCATGCGCCAACTTGAGGAGGGCGTGATGGACTCCATGTGCAGCATATCACCAACGGCTCTCATCACAATAGATGGAAGCTTTTTAGTTTTTGGGAAACAAAATATTTTCTCAGTAATATTACCATTTGTATTCCTTAAATCTTGCATGTACATATCTTGCAGATTATTGCTTTTCCTGTATATTTATATTCCTTCATTCACTTATTTCTATAGCAGAATACAATATGCAATAAAAACAAAAATCTCTTTCTTTTTCATCTTCCTCACCTTTTCTGTCTCGTCTCCTTTTCTTCAAGTATTGCAAGGTTTGTAGCACCAATCAGAAATAGTCCCTATTCCAACAATTCTTACGGTGTATACATGATTTAATGGCTAAAATTATACTCTATTGGGAGTATAAATGAGTTGAAAAGTTTAAGTGACACTTGCCATACTGTCAAGTAAGTATTGCAGGATTTTGATAAACTACTTAAATCTCTTTCATGTGTATGTCTCAATTGTTTATTAGTTCAATTTGACATAACCCATATAGTGTGAAATTTCATTGATCAGCAAATACATCAATACTTCTTCCTACTATACACTGACACACTACCTCAACATTATATACTTGTAATACATTAAACTATCTACTTCTATAAAATCAAATAAAATATTGGATTCATACAGTTTCAGTAACGTTTCACTTGATAGCTAGCTTAGATTGACCTAAACAAACTACTTCATTTAATAAGATAACTGATCCAGACAATATGTTAGGCCCTGATTTCGGAATGTGCCATTACTAAGATTAAACACGAATCTAACTATAAACAGATACACCCCTAATTACAGAGGGTGATTGTCCATTTGTCCTCCAACCCAAATCGTTGAATACATTTGAACATTTGAGTTTGTTGAATTGATTAACGTGTCCATTGAACTTGCAAATAGTTGATCAAATGAAATGTGAAGAGGTAGTCATCATTTGTGAGGTTAAGAAATCATCCCAACACTAATTTTATTGATAGGAAACTGAAAGTGAAAATAGAGGATAACATAGATTAATTTTGAAGAGATCGAAACAATAGAGCATGCAACTACGAGCTGAGGTTGTTTAATTAATTTGTTGTCTTGACGGTCGAAGATGATGTTCTTACAATTCTTCCCACACAGTTGTCTTTAGACCTGGTGTGTGGTAAATACATGAATGGGCAGTCAGGATTTGTCCTCTGCAGCCTGCAAATTAAATAAAACCAACAACGTAGCCCTGTCAGCAGCGCAAAATTTCCAGAAACCTTCAAAATAATTCAAGCAAATGTATTAATTAAATTAAACTCACTCGTAACCCAGTAGAAAATGGTGAAGTAAAAATGGAGAATTCGAATTTGGCAAGGTCGTTTCCTGGGCACGTACAGTCTGCTTCCCGCTCCAAATGATTGTTGTTTACTCTTTGCTACAACCTAAAACTCAAAATGCGTAACAATTGCTCAATCACACACACACCTCTTTCTCGATGTTGCTATCATTTGGTGACTGTACTCCAATTTGTTGTCCTTAAAGAACGATAAAAATCCGAGATTCATCCCACATCTTTGACGTACGAGTTGGTTTTCCGAAAACACACGAAACACCACGTTTTGTCAAATGGTGCCATTGCCCACTTCTCCCCCACCATTAGGGCACAAATAACCCCCTTTGTATAGATCTCTACATTTTTGCCAAAGAGAGTCTTTGATATTCATGCCCTAAGCAATGGTACCAATGCTCCCTAACATCTTTTCTCACCCCTTTTTCTCATTTTCTTTTTTCCTTTTCTCCTCCTTTTTGCTCAGATTCAATCTTTTCCCCTTTCTTAAGTTGAAATAGATGGGCACTCCCACCTCAATGTGCATGCTATGCAAGGATTATAAGCTAAAAAAGCAAGCAAAACAGGCATGTATAAAACAGTTCAGCTCTTGAAGAGGTAAGCCAAATTATGGCCACCTGTTGCACCAGCTGAAACTGCATGCCTTCACAAATTTAGTTCACAGTTCTCACACAGCACAAAATTCACAGCACAACAGATAATAGAAAGCAAAAATGACAGCTGCACAACCTAGCTTGCAGACACTTTTGTTTTTGCCAGCATCCAATTTTTCTGGTTTTGCCTCAACTCTTCCATTTCTGCACCTGCACAAATCAAAAAAAGGTTAAGAAAACAAGCATCCTGTCTATATTCTGGACAAGAAGCCTGCAATTGGATCCCATATACATATAGCTCTGCAAATCACCCTCACCTTCCCCATTCGCTCTTCTTTTTTCAACTTTCTTCTTATTTCCACAACACCCCACTCTCATTATTCTCTCAACACACATTTTTCACACACAATCCTGTCCATATAAGGCATGTTCATTAAATTACTACTACAAATTAATCAACTTACTATAGGATATCAACTCCCTATTTTAGGTACATTAAATTATTGTAAGTTCATTAAGTCACTACTGCATGATTATTAAATAATTACTATACTTTCATTAAGTCGCTACTATGGGTTCATCACATAATTATAGAAACAATATATTGGAAAAAGGAAATCAGTATAGGTTTTTTTTAAAAAAAAATAAAAAAATCTAAACAAAATATCTTAACAACCCATTCAGCTTGTTTGAAAATCATATTCGTATTTGTGTTTTAGAATTCTTAACTTATTAACCTTAATGTATTTGTTTTTGGTCGTGTATTGTTCATGTCATTATATATTGTGTTAGTTTATTAACCAATTTGTTTATATACAAATCTAAAGGTTTAAGTGGGCTTATATTATTTTAGATGACACATGATTTTGTAAAATTTTCAAGGCCTTAATAAGATAATTGGTCAAAGAAATATGTTGGGACCGGCCTGATTTTGGACTCTGCCATTAGTAAGATTAAACACAAATCTAAGTAGAAATGGTGATTGTCCATTTGTCCTCCAACCCAAATTGTTGAAACATTTGAAGATTTGAGTTTGTTGAATTGATAGATTAACCTGTCCATTTAACTTGCAAATATAATAGTTGATGAAATGAAATGAAACGTGAAGAGATAGTACGTCATCATTATATTTGTGAGGTTAAGAAATCATCCCAACACTAGCGTACTTTTTATTGATAGGAAACTAAAAGTGAAAACAAAGGATAACATAGAATAATTTTAAAGAAATCGATCAAGACAATAGAGCATGCAGCTACCAGCTGAAGTTGTTTAATTTGTTATCTTGACGGTTGAAGATGATGTTCTTACAATTCTTCCCAAACAGTTGTCTTTAGGCCTGGTGTGTGGTAAATACATGAGTGGGGAGTCAGGATTTTTCCTCTGCAGCCTACAAATTAAATAAAACCAACAACATAACCCAGTCAGCAGTGCAAAATTTCCAAAGACCAATCATAACTTCAAATTAAAGTATTAACTAAATTAAACTCACTCATAACCCAGTAGAAAATGATGAAGAAAAATAGAGATTTCAAGCTTGGCAAGGTCATTTCCTGGGCAGAGTCTACTTCCCGCTCCAAATGGAAGAAAAGCACCTGCTTTTGGTGTAAAATCCTGCACCAATTTCAATCATTGTGTCAGTCATATATATATATATATATATATATATATATATATATATATATATATACATTTCCAATAATAATAATAAAAATGGGGAAAAGAAAAGATAGATTGCTAAACGAATTGATGGAATTGAACTTACATCCCATCTAGAAGGTTTGAATGCAAACGGGTCTTCATATAGCTCCTCATCATAGTGAGGACCTCTAAACCACGTCAAAACTTTCCATCCCGCTGGAATTGTATATCCCGAAATATTGACATCCTTATTTGCCACGCGAAACACCATGAGAGAGAAGGTTACCAAACGAAGTGTTTCATCAACCACCTTAGTTAATTTCAAAACAAATAAAGATTATTATGTGTAGGTGCAAGCATATATAGCATATATATTTGGATGAGCAATATAATATAATAAAATAATAATAGCATATATGCATGAGAAAGGATAAAGGGCGGATATTGACCTTAGACAAATACTCCATCTGTCGGACCTCTTTGAGTGTCAAACTCTTCTGATCAGGAGGCATATTTCGCCTAATTTCCTCTTGCTCTGCCTGCATGAGCATTATATATATGATATTATGAGAAATTAATTTATGTTTGGAAGAAAAGAAAAGAAATGATTATATTGTCCAAATAAAAATAAAAATTTTAAAAAAATAAAGTAACAAACGAACCCTGGCTTTTTTGAAGGCCTCAGGGTGGCTCTGCAGAAACACAGTAGCCCACATTGTGATATGGCCTGATGATTCATGTCCAGCATTTAAGTACATGAGCATAACATCAATTATTTCCTCATCATCCAGCTCTCTCCCATTCTCATCTTTAACATCCATTAGTCTATCCATCATGTCTTTCTTTCCATTCTCAAGAAGACTAGCTTTAGGGTTCTTCCTTCTCAACTCTCTTCTTTCATCCACTACGGATTGAAAAATAGCCACGAGTCTTTTTCGCGCCTGACAGACAGT